GGTCGATATGCTTTCCCTTTTTCAGGCCAACTGTTTATGTGGGTTTCTCCAACCTGGTACAGACCCCTTCGTTCTTCATTCCTCCCTCTCTTCAACTAGGTTCCAGAATTCAGCTCAGTGTATTTCTGTGGATGTCTGTCTCTGCTTCCATCAGCCACTGGATGAGGGCTCTAGGATAGCATAGAGAGTAGTCATCAATCTCATTCTAGAGGAAGGGCTTCTAGGCCATCCTCTCCTCCACTGCCCGAAGTCCAGCCTCCTTTTATCTACCTTTAATACACACAAACACACACATACACATGTGTGCACATGCGCACACACAGCCCTCTCAACCTCCATTAATAACTATTCTACTTTCAGAACATTTTTTTACCTTTTATACCCAAAAGGTAGAACATGATTGTTGTGGTTTGAATGAAAATGGCCCCCAGAAGCCCATAGGGAGCAACACTATTAGGAGGTATGGTCTTGTTGAGGTAGGTGTGACTTTGTTGGAGGAAGTATGTCACTGGGGGTGGAATTTGAGGTGTCAGAAGCTCAAGCCAGGTCCAATGGCTTACTCTGTCCTCCTGCTGCCTGCAGATCCAGATGTAGAACTCTCTGCTACCCCTCCAGCACCATATCTGCCCGCATGCCACCATGCTTCCTACCATGATGATACTGGACTAAACCTCTAAACTGTAGGCTAGCCCCAATTAAAGTTTTTCCTTATAAGAATTGTCGTGGTCGTGGTGTCTCTTCACAGAATACAAACCCTATCTAAGTCAATGACCCACTCAGCTTTCTGGGTCTGGTTTATTTTGCTTAGCATAATTTTGTCCATTTCCATCCAGCTATCTAAATATATTTGAACATTTCAAAAATATTCTGTGTACAAGGAAGAAAACTACTACAATCCTAAAACTTCCTTAATGCTGAGTGTGGTAATATAACCCTCTAATACCAATATCTGAGAGGCTGAAACAGGAGGGTGGAAATTTCAGAGCCACACGGGGCTACATACATAGTATGACTCTATAATTCTCAGATATCACCAATAACATCTTATAAAAACAAACATTATTCTCTACTAAGACTTATTATAATTTATTTGTGCGTCTGTGTGTGGGGGCATATGTGTATGAGTGGCCATGGGACCATGAGAAAGCACTGAACCCCTGGAGTTAACATTACAGGTGTTTGTGAGCTGCCCAATTAGATGCTGAGAACCAGACTCAGGTCCTTTTCAAGAGCAATATACACCTTTAACTGCTGAACCATCTCTCCATCCCCCAGCCATTAGCTTATTCAATGCCCCTTACTTATTATGACCCCATCACCATAGCAGCCCCATCCAAAGAGGAAAAGAGGAAGAAGCATGGCCAGGACAGTATGGTGCAGTAGGTCACTCTCCTTTTCTGGTCTCCATCCTCAAACAAGAAGTGCAAAATTCCATCACAGTTCTCAGGACATTCTCCACCATCTGCTCCCAAACACGAGTCAGAGTTGAGGGCCAAGTTATCAAGGGAATCCATTGTTCCCTCTCCCCATGAAGAAACATTTTACAGTCTTGCATGAAACCAGAGTCCAGTAGGCTTTGATCAGTTGTTCATCAACAAAACAATACCTAAGAACCACAGAATGTAATAATAACACACTTACTACTGAGTTAATAAGGCAAGTCATTGTCTGTGACTAACAAAACTAAAATCTCCTTTCACCCCACACTATCCTATACTACAACTGCATGACAGGTTTGGTGTTCTGTCCATAGTCATGTTATTCACAACTGGATCAGCCTTCTATGAATTCTTTTCTTTGTATTATACATTTCTGCCCCTGTTCCTAGTAAGTTAGCCAGCCTATAAGGAAAATGTTATCTCAATCAGCATCCTTTCAGAACCAGCCCTAGATAAGGCTCTGCTGCACCAATGCACTGGGCCAGCATTGGTTCCAACAGCTATTGGTGCATTTGAATATTGGTATTTTCCATCAGACTGAATGTGTGTGTGTGTGTGTGTGTGTGTGTGTGTGTGTGTGTGTTCTCTGTCTCTGTCTCTGTGTTGCTAGAATACGTCCTGTCCCGACCTTGCTGTTAAGCATAATAAACTGTGAGAAAGGAGTGAAGGGCTCATTGAATGTATGCATTCCCACTCTCTAATAAACATGCATCAGGAATGCAACTGAACCAAACTCAGGAAACATCAGTTTCTTCTGCAGTGTTACTGCCGTGCTACAGATGGGTGAGAGAGCAGGTTGTGCCAGGTCCGAGTCTATCTGGAACATTGCGACTTTTTAAACAAATAGCTCATCTTGGACTGTTTTCTGCTGTCTTTTCTCTAAACTTGAGATGAAAATTTAGTTAAATCCTGCTGGACTGTAAGAAGTGCAATGAATGGCTTTGGAGCTAAACAATCACATCTTTAATTCAGTCTCCCAGTGTACTATTGTTTTGAGTTTGGAGAAATGAGCTTGCTTTTCATCTTTCTCTCCTTATTTATGGAATAAGTAAAAGCCTCTTCTTCATACAGACATATGTACTACAACCATTCCCAAGACACCTTAGCCTTTGACATGAAGAGACTCCCAAGGGCAATACACACCCACATTAGAGCCATGAAGCTACACCTTTCTGTCCTGCTGCTCTCTTGTGAGTCTCCTCAACCCCTGTCCCCTTGATTGATGTCATCTACAGGTTCACAGTCAATGAAAGCCCCCATTCAGTGAGCTGAGGGCAGAAGAGGGAAGAGGTTTTTTAAAAGTGCTCCAATGTCTCCTACCAACATCTCTGTGCTGCTTCTCCCACTCTGTGCAAACTTAGACTCTCCCTTTAATGAAAATAAATCATCTTCCAGAGAATTTGCAGAATCTCCTGTGTTTTTCTCCAAGTGCCTTCCTGGACGATGTAGAAAACAACTGATAATAATTTCAACAAATGAGGGATAGTTAACCTAAAGATGGTCTTTTCACTTCAAGCTCCTAGGAAAGCCAGAGCCTTTGACCCTGAATATAGTGTAACTCACTAGGAGAGTTGAAAAGATCTTACTAAAGCAAAATGGAGACAAGGTTCAGTTCGTGCTTTGGAAGTTTGACACCAAAGCATCAAATTAAACCTTTGTCACCTTGTGGTGAGAGGAGAGCATGAACGACAGTGGCCAGATACACATGGATGGCAGAGGCCAGAACAAGATGTCTTATGTTTTCCTCTATTGCTCTCTGCCTTATTGCCTTGAGAAAGCAGTCTCTTGGTGAATAGGAAACTCTACATAGCCATCAGAATTCACCTGTCTCCACCCCCAATGCTTGAGCTACAGGCACTAACAGACATTTCTGCCTTTTTATGTAGGTCTTGGGAATTAAACTTGGGTTCTCACCAATAAGGCATCACCCCAGCCACTAATGCCTTTGATAATTTTTATTTTGTACAAATGCTACCTAAGGATGACACGATCTGACAGTTGGGGCAGTGGAGGAGAGGATGGCCTAGAAGCCCTTCCCCTAGAATGAGAGTGATGACTACTCTCTATGCTATCCGAGAGTCCTCATCCAGTGGCTGATGGAAGCAGAGACAGACATCCACAGAAATACACTGAGCTGAA